TATATTTTATGGAAAACGTACACGGAAAAAATTATATCGTTTAGTCTATTTTAGTAGGAAATCACGCCTTCTTTAAAATAAAATCCTAACCAAAGGGAATGTTTTGGTTTTGAAAAACGTTTCACTTATGAGTTTTTTTACGACTGTGAGTCGTTAACTCATAATACATCAGATCCGTCAATTTGGTACTGCTGCCTATAATATATACAGCATTTTCCACATCTGTTGCTATATTTGATGAGAACTATGTGATACCTCCCTCAAACCGTAGGCGAAAACGTACTTTTCGTTAAAAAGGATGTACACATAGTGCAGTTTGAAAAACTTGAGTTCAAGTGTAGCAGTCAGTAGGTTTCTAAATTATTGCGCAATTAAGGAACTATTTTAAAACCAAAAGATATTCTTTCTTTAAGTATACAATTTAAAAATGCGATTTCCTACTAAACGAAAACAACAAACAATTTTTTCGTTCATGTTTTCCATAAAATACGTTTGAATTAATAAAGACCGTTAAAATCAATGACAAAAATGCACACTAGTTCAGTAGCCACTTTTTACAGTGCATACGTTTTGTAAGCGGTCTGAACGAAGCTCGTTAAAAAGCCGGAATCCTACTGGTACTGAAAAAAACTCGCAATTAGTCTGCATGATAATCGGTATTACAACTTTATTCAATGCCGATTAGCGAAAGAGTATCAACCTTTCGCATATGTCGGCGTGTTACACGAATTTCATTCCGCACTGTAGATCCCCCAAAATACTCACAAAATCACAAAAATATCATGCATTCGATTCCTTTGTTGCCACTACCGATCACCCATTACCCATATGAATGAAATAAACCGCATTCTACACAAATTCAGACAGTGGCCGACGAACATAGGGGTAGGGCTCTAAGTTCGGACCAATGTCCTCTGGGACATCTTCACCGCGCAGATGGCCTTGGATTAGAGACAGGAAAACGATGTTCCAGAAATTGCATTCTTCCTTGCGATTATCAGCCTGGACCGTCTGATCCAACCCGACTTCCATGTAGTTACCTGATTCTACTTCACATTTTGGCCAGTCAGGACTCGCCCTGCTTCTACATTCATTTCTGGATTTGTGAAAGAGGAGGGGCAAGGGCGTTATGTAAAACTGAGTTTTTAGCCTATTTATTTATCAAATGGCAGATTAGTTAAAGGCCTACCCAGATCGAGCATAATTTGCCCAATATTTCATTACGGCTTCGCTTTGTCGCGCTTCTTCCTCGGTGTAACCGTAACAATTACTCTTAAATGTCTGCGAAAAGGGCATCCCGAAAACATACTTGATTTCATAGCCGTGCATAGCACCTGCCCAGTCCGGAAAACCGTTATTCGGTGTTTTCTGCACAAAATTGTAAGCGTAAACGACGGCATTCGGCGGCTCTGTAATGCGTTGGGCGAATTTCTGCGTGCCACAGGTAAAATCAATTTTACCAGAAATGGCATCCATCTGATGCATAAACTCAGTCGCGTTATGCACGGCGAATTCCCCCAATCCGGCGGAGATGTTGATAACTTTGCGAAGCCCCAGACTTCTGAATCCGTAGGCAGTGGTCATGGCTGTTGTGGACGGATGTTAA